TGTCGCGCTTGCGCGAATGTTTGCACGAGCTTGTACAAGGGAAACCGGAACAAGGGAGTAGGAGTATAGATTGTCGATGCAAGCACGGCTCCGACTCAGTCCTCCAGCAAGCTCCATTGAGGACTTGTTGATCCCAAGAAGAAGCAGCTGATCCTTCCAGGTTGACCCACCTAAGTAGAAACATCAGCAAGTTAGCTACAGTAAAAAAATTGTAAGTTCAAGTTGAAATTTATTTTTGAATCGCCATTTGTAAGACCATCGAGGAACATTTTTTCTTTCACCCTGTTCAAGAACGTTATTTCGTCTTCTTTTAAAAAAAATTTTTTTGTAAAGAATTCTCTCTATCTTATCCAATAAAATGTCGGTACATGTTAAAAATTTTATTACGAAGGATTCTTTATTATCCTCAAAAAAATGTTCGATACTCGTTAAAAAACTCAATAAAGAACAGAATTGTTCTTTGTTTGTAAATTTTTACCACTTTTGACATTTCTTTCGATATTAATTTAATCACAACGTATATCGCAACAGCTACTGTGTAAATACAGGGAATACAGTTCGTTTAATTTCATAATAGAAAGGACAAATATTTCTTTGCTCGCTTATATTTCACTGAATTTTATTTTATTCCGTGATACGTATTAAATTTGATTTAAAAAATTACTAGTAGTAACTAGTATAAATATATAAAGCAACTTAAATTTCAGGGGTGCAAACAGCAGTGTCCTTGCACGAGACCAAAAATGTACACGTGTGTCGCATTGATGATGGTTGCTCTGACGAGCACGATGCACCTTGAAGTGGAGGCATGGGGCGGTCTCTTTAATCGTTTCAGCCCAGAAATGTTATCGAATCTTGGCTATGGTAGTCACGGTGACCACATGCCCAAAACAGGATTGTATCAGGTATGAAAGAAAGAAGTTCGAACAAGTAAGTTTCTTCAATATTGAGACGTCTTTATACAGTAGACAATTGTTGCAACTTTGCCGCAGTACAACCGGCATACGATCGATATATTATTTCCATAGAACATTATACGATTCATGTGCAAGGGATTTTATATTTCAATATAATTCTCTAAAACAAGGACAGTAACATTAGCAACTATCAACTAGATCAAAGAGATTTCATTGCGAATCTTCGACAAAGAAAATTAAAGAAGTTGTCCCAAAGTTAGAAAAGTTATCCAAATGTTTTTATAATTACTCCTTACTGTATAATAGCAAAAATCACACATATCAATAGTTGTTTCATTCTTTTCCACAAATTTAAAGGATTTAACAAATTTAACAGCGATCGAAAAATATAATTACTAATTCTCCGTATTTTATTTAATTCGCGTTAGCTAAAAACATGAGCTGCTCTATTCTCGACGATGATATCGAATAATACACATTAATGTCCCACGTTTTATTTCAAGCGTCCGTTATCTACCAGCTACGGATACTCTTATGACTCTTTGGAAGAAGTTGTACCATGTTATGAAAGAAGGTGCACGGCTAACGACCAGTGCTGTCCGTCTTTCATCTGTGTAAACGTCGATGGGGGTAATTCTCATTTCTTGTGTTTTCATTGCACAGCTTTAGGACAATAGTCGAAGGTACAAAGTTGCCTGTAAATTTTAGATATTGGCCACTGCGTTTTCGAATTGGGGCAGAAGCAGGGAGAACTTTGCAGGAACGATAACGACTGTGAAACTGGTTTATTGTGTGCCGAGGTTGCTGGCAGCGAAACTCGTTCGTGTCAGCCACCAGTAACTTCAAATAAATTGTATAGTACGTATAAACATATGTGGGCGTTTGCTGTCAATACCAGTAAATGTCTTTTACGTGACAAGAATGTAGAGATAATCGATAAAGGTCAATTCACAAACGATTACGTCAAAGGAACAGGCTCTCTTACGTAAGAACTATATCATATTTAACTTCTAAATTTAGAATATCCTATTCTTAATTCTCGCAGATGAAGAATGTAATATGTCTGGGGAATGCGATATCAGCCGCGGTTTGTGTTGTCAGCTTCAGAGACGTCATCGACAAACACCAAGAAAGGTACTTGCATTTCCGGGTAAAAATAACATCAAATCGGAATAATTCCGAATAATAGAAGTCATTACGAAAGTTATCTTTTCCATTAGGTTTGTTCGTATTTCAAAGATCCTCTAGTGTGCATCGGACCAGTTGCGATGGACCAGATAAAATCTATCGTCCAGTACACTTCTGGTGAAAAGCGGATCACTGGACAGGGAAATCGAATTTTTAAACGGGTTCCCTTCGCCTAAGAGCTTCGTCGTTCCTCATAAATTGGTGAGAATGGAAGAAATGTCTACATGAATCAAATACCCCTTTTCATTACTTTGAGGAACTTAGGATAACTCTATTACTTCGAAATTCCCTAAATTGTTTTTATTTATACTTTTGCCTGTTAGGTCAAAGAAGTAGAAAAATCATTAAACGCGCTTTTTGATTATTTTCCTCCAAATATTACGACTGACAAATACGATACATATCAGAATAGTCCGTCTTATAGGATTATAAGATATACTATATATATATATATATATTCATGAGAAAAGTTAGGCAGCGTGTCTTTAAAGGTTGATAGTTTCTGATGAACGATGAGTACAGGCTGTATGATGGAAGAGAAAATTTTCTTTTCTTCTACTACGTTGTTAGTCTTATTTTTACTCATTTTTGTTTTTGATTAAACATATTCGAATTAGATTAAGTTGACATCTTAATGACGATAGCAATGGGAAACTGCTAGGAAAGCTTTGAACAGTGCGTACACTAAATATAATATCTAACTTTGACAAAATTTTGTTAGATTAAAAAATTTGTTAGAAATTCTTGAAAAGTAGAGTACTTTCTACGTGTTTTGCCCTGTACATGACAAAAACTACTTTCGGTGAGATTTACGATCTCAAGAGATCCCCGAATCAAATTTCCTAAATTTACTGTTAAGGTATATACTGGAATTTCTCAAACGCGCACAGAATAAAATATATTTTCACTCTTCTGGTTTTCAAGTTCTCATAGATCAAACGTTCTTGATATATCAGCGATAAAGGACTATTTTTCATGAGAAAGAATCGAGCATTGAAATAGTATTAAGATATCAGATAAATGTTCCAAGTCTAATTATGAATCATTTATGGGTAGGAATTTACTCGATTGTATCGAGCATTCACTCTGGAAATTTTCGAACATCTTCGTCGGTATTTAACAAATGTAACTTATGCGTTACCGTTAAGTTATACAGTAAAATTTGAAAGTAAAGCGTTCAAATTGACACGGATCCAGAAAAAATTGAGGCAGTGAAGTTTTGCTTTACCTAGCGTATATTCCAAATTATTAGAGATATACGTATGTATGTAGACAATTAAAAGAAATGTTGATTTAAATGTGGTAGCCACTCGATCAAATATTTATCGTGAGAATCGAACTATTAAGCATCGATCGCGGTAATCGCTCTATTGAACACTGAAACCTCGGAGGTCGCTTCGTTAAGTGTTATTAAACTCCTAACATTAAATATAATATAATTAAAACAATATATATATGTATGTATATGAAAATCGTTATGTTAGATATTAATCAGAGTCGAGATTTTAAAAGATATATAAGAAAAGAGACGTGTTAATTATCGACATAGTTACGAAGATGAAAAATATGAATGAAGCAAATGTTTTACAATTGTAATCACGAGAGACGCAGTGTTATTTTAAAACAGTGTCGTGAAACACTTTCTGATGCGTAAAGTACCTGTTGCGAAATCTGGACGACCCCTCGTTTCTATGCTACTGTGCTAGTCATCGAGAGTCCAAACACACAAAGAGAACATATTTCTAGTTATATGGTATTATACTTCCATCGTTGATCTTTTATCGTATAAGGGAACTCTAACACATATTATGTGAATGCCTAATCCATTAAGAAAGTTTTAAATGTGAATGTTATTATGAGATATATCTTACTGAAATTATATTTTTATCTTTGATCGATATGTATACCAAAACGCTATATATTTATATAGTATTCATATATTTTCCGCAAGCGTATATCTATAACATAATGTAACTACCCTCCGATGCGTCGTGCGTACGTCATCTCACAAGGGTTAATTGATTACTTTGTTCGAGGTGAATAATTTGCAACTCTTAGTTTGATTGGAAACTATAACAAGCGGCTAAGAAGATACCTTTTACAATATGTTTTAATCCCTTTATGACTGTCAACTTCGTTCCCTCCTGTTTATACAGTTTGTTTAGTCTTTCGATTAATACTATTCGTGGAACCAAAGAAGTAAAAGTAAACTAATAAATAAAACTGATACATATCATAGGATAGTAAGTTCTTTCCAGCGTGGAAATTTTGGATAGAAAACTTCTATCCAAAAACATATTATTTGAACGTACGACTCATTGAGGGACTATGGCCATTACGGCCTGGAGTCAAAAGTACCTCTGTCAGATGAACTATTTCCAGAATAATTATATGTGTATAACTATGTATATGTAACGTTCAAGATTATAATACAGAGTTACAATAGTTTAATGTGAAATAAACTGTGGTGCATACAAAACAGTTAAACCTGTTTCTCGTTTATTATTTCGTCATTCCCCATAAAAAAACCTCTATCTCTCCTTTTTTTTACAATTTTTTAAGACTCTTTCTACTAAAAACGTGCTATATCTAAAAGGCTATATTAAAAATATTTTCAAAAAGTTTCATTTATATATATAATATATATATATATGATATATATTATAATAAATATATATATAATTTAAGCAAATGATGGAAAATTTCTGCAATTTGTACATTTCCTAGAGTAAAGCGTTGCAGTAATGATTTTTCTAGACAGTTCTTTTATACGATTTGTTAATGAATGTTTAAGAGGAAAATTTGTAGTTCTTCTTCTGTGCAGGCGTGGTTTTCATTTTCAAATTCCCTCCTTTCCCATTCTTAACCTAAAGCAAGCTCGGAATATTCGAGAATAGATGGCACTACGCACTCACCAATATCCGCTATGGGCAACAAAATGGTCGTGTAGTGACGACGAAGGAACGTAAGTTTGTAAGAACAGACGACGCTCTTCTCATTGAAACTATTTTGAGCATAGTGTCCGAGGTTCTTGGACGATTAAAATGACCGCAATACCTGGTACTGTGGCCTTTGATGAATATGGTAGACCTTTTATTATTCTTCGTAACCAAGAAAGGCAAAAACGTCTAACCGGCACTGATGCCATCAAGGTACGTAAACTTACATTTTTTGAATAATTTTCCTATCCGTCTATAGAGTTAGTAAAATAGTGATAATTTTTCTCTTATATGTTTTCATGATTTCATTGGATTTATAAATTAAAAGCTTGCGTTAAAGGACCGACCACGTGAAACGGTAATGGCGACGTTTTGGGCTTGGCAGCTAATCCTAACATTGCTACTAAAACGATATAATCTGAATTAATATTATATACATACTTGTATCTTAAATTTTAGTCTGTACATTATTTGTATCTCTTCATTCTTTTTTCATTAAAGTAATATTCATGCAATTTAGAAAGTTGAATGAAACACAATGATATTGATCTTTGACCATATAAGGAGATCAGTAGTACTATTGTATAAGTCCAACGAAATCCAGAAAATTTATTGCTGTAATACTATCTTGACAAATATTACATAAAATATATACATAACATGTTTAATAAGTAATTGTTTAATTGCAGTCACATATTTTGGCAGCCCGTGATGTAGCCAATATTTTGAGAACCTCGTTAGGACCTAGGGGGCTTGACAAACTAATGGTCAGCTCTGATGGTGATGTCACAGTAACAAATGATGGGGCAACAATCTTGAAAAACATGGATGTTGATCATGAAATTGCAAAGCTAATGGTTCAATTGTCTCAATCTCAAGATGATGAAATTGGAGATGGCACTACTGGAGTAGTTGTTTTAGCAGGTGCTCTCTTGGAACAAGCTGAGCAACTGTTAGACAAAGGAATTCATCCAATTCGAATAGCAGATGGCTTTGAAATGGCAGCAAAATGTGCAACAGATCATTTAAAGAAAATTGTTCATGATTTTGAGGGTACTCCTGACAACCTAGAACCTTATATAAAGATTGCCATGACCAGTCTTGGTTCAAAGATGTAAGAAGGACATTTTTTGATTATTTGTATTTAATATGGGCAAGACAAAGCAATACCTTTATTCTTTTTTAGCATCAACAAGTGTCACAGACAAATGGCAGAAATAGCTGTAAATGCTGTATTTGCAGTTTTAGATCCTGTTGCACGTGATGTGAACTTTGAATTGATAAAACTAGAAGGGAAAGTTGGAGGAAGATTGGAAGATACTGTCCTAGTTCGCGGTGTTGTTATTGACAAAGACTTTAGTCATCCTCAAATGCCTAAGGTAAAGTCAGTTAGTATACTAGATTCCTTTTTGATATATTTTATTTTGCCTAATGATGACAAACTGAAACAGAGAAGGGTGAAGATTCAGGATATTTCTTTAGCTTATTTATTGTCGAGACTTGAAACTATTTCTTTGGTTACTCTTTTGTTAACTTCTGAAAAAGTAAAAGTTTCTGTTTAAGTAGCTATTTAATAACCTGATCTTTGCAGTGGCTTCAATGATCAAAAGATTATGAGAGCTGAAGGGATTGTTTCTTTTAATAAATTATTTTATCAATCAATGAAATTGTTAATAGAGATACATTTATCGCGTTACAGAGATTAGAAGATGTTAAATTAGCTATTTTGACATGTCCGTTTGAGCCACCTAAGCCAAAAACTAAACATAAGTTGGATGTCACTTCAGTCGATGATTATAGAGCATTGCGTGAATATGAACAAGAAAAATTCACCGAGATGGTGAAGAGGGTTAAAAATGCTGGTGCCACGCTTGCTATTTGTCAATGGGGATTTGATGATGAAGCTAATCATCTCCTTCTTCAAAGTGAATTACCCGCGGTCAGATGGGTTGGTGGCCCAGAAATCGAAGTAAGTTTTGCTTCTAATTACTGTATGATCAATTTACTTGCCTAATGACGACAAAGCGCAATGGAAGAGCGTGAAAGTTAAATTAATAAGTTGACTTTCTTTTGCTGTAGCTCTAATGACCAATAGATCATGAGATCTGAAGGTCTGATTCTTTTTCTTCTTGTTAACTTTATAAAAAACTGTAAAAAAGCATTAGTAAAAAACAGTATCAAATTTGTTTCAGCTAATAGCTATTGCTACAGGTGGTCGTATTGTTCCTCGTTTCGAAGAATTGACACCGGAAAAACTCGGCCACGCTGGTGTTGTAAGAGAATTAACATTTGGTACTACCAAAGATCGAATGCTTGTTATCGAAGAATGCAAGAACTCTCGAGCAGTTACTATTTTCATCCGCGGAGGGAACAAGATGGTAAGCAATATTTAAAGTTTTTATAAGAGAAATAAAAGCAAGGAGAATTTCAGCGGTATTCAAATATATCTAACTGACCAGACACCTTGCAAGAATAAAGCATTAAAAGATATATTTTATCTAATTTAATTCAATTTAAATCAGTTTAATTTGAATTTTTCTTCTGATGCTACAATTTTACATATTTCTTTTTTTATTTATTCAGTGCAAGAATATGCAAATTTATGAATTATTCCAATTTTTAGATCATTGAAGAAGCGAAACGAGCTATCCATGATGCGCTATGTACAGTTCGTAATGTAATCAAGAATGAAAAAATCTTGTATGGGGGAGGTGCCCCTGAAATTTCTTGTGCCCTTGCTTGTGCTGAAAAAGCCAACAAGATCAGCACCTTGGAACAATATGCTTTCCGTGCATTTGCCGAAGCGCTGGAAGCCGTACCTATGGCACTTGCCGAAAATTCTGGCCTTTCGCCTGTAAATGCTTTAGCTAACATTAAAGCAGCACAATTGGCTGAAAATAACCCTACGTTTGGTGTAGATTGCCTAAACCGTGGTACTTTCGGTACGTATCGAATAATTGCACTTTCATCTTTCGTTGTAATAGTTAAGAATAAATAATTATTCATTTTCTTCCAGATATGAAAGTCCAAAACGTCATCGAAACATTGACGAGCAAAACACAACAAATTGTATTGGCTACACAGTTGGTCAAAATGATACTTAAAATTGATGATATACGTTCACCAAACGATGCCGGCGATGTTGCCTAAGGAAGTTGCGTATTTTTTACTTCGATACTTGCATTATTGGAATTTTTTAACGTTTCACCTTATTTTTGCTTCTTCCAGCTTCATTCACATTTTAATGAATAATAATTGTATTTAACTTAGTTTACTTCCTGTCATCGAGTAATAATGATAATTTATGCGACAGCATTGTGATACAGAATAAATAAATGATTTTACTTTCACCAGAATTTAATTTTTTTGTTTAAATATGTATTTTTGCTACTAATATGTGCAGTGTATTGAATAAGTGGGGTATATGATTCCATCAACGATTCTTTTTTATTTTCTTCGTAGGAACAAATAAATTTGTCACATCGAGTCAAGGTATAATCGTGTAGACAGATATTTTTTCCTGTATAATCCGGGTTGTGGGAATTTTGTTTCATTTCATAAAGCATAAACGTAAATGCAGATCGATCAACGTAAGAAACAATTTGGTAACATTCTACTAATAAAATGGCACAAAATACGATCGCTTGTACATTTATAAATTATATTATAACAACATTGTATACCTCTATCTTCTTCTCTCTTTTTCTCCGATATCTTCAGCCTTCGGTCTATGGGGATAGACAGATAGTCTTTCTCTTATCACAAAATATACAATCTATCCCAGCATAACACATATCTCTTTTCTCTTTCTGTTTTTACACAATAAGTGCATCTCCAATAGATTTATTACATACATAAAGTTCATGCTTGGAGTTGCAATATTTTGCCATAACAACTTTTGATAGACTAACAACACCAAGAAACAACGCACTTCTTAAACATCTTTAATCTCCATAACAACATTTCTGTACCATACGATACAGAATTCGGCACTTCGTTTCATCGTATATACTTGCATTCTTATATCTCACTTATTCTTATTTAACGTACGTCCAATGTCCACTCAATTCAGATGTTTAAATCGCAAGTTCCAGCAGAGCCTTATATCAACACCATCCTCCTTAAGTCTTGACGTACAATCGCTATACATTAATAACGAAAATTTTTGTCAGAACGAATTCGTTAAATTGACACTTTTACGCGGAAGAATAGGAATGATGTTTTATAAAATACAAATTACACGAGTAAAAAAAAATATATAAAATGTAATGTCGATGACCCCCCTCGATGCGTTATCTAATTTTATGAAAGTAATCTAATTCTTCCTTTCTTTCTTTTGTTTCCTTCTTTTCTGTTTTTTTTTTTTTTTTTTTTTTATTAAATAGTATCGTCAATATCCACGTACGTTACATTGTATAGATACACATATTTTATTGATAATTTTATAAGTGTGTATGAAACTCTTAAGCAATTAATATTTCATAGGATCTTTATTTGTTCGGTTAAGAAAATATATATGTAATAAAACGAATGGCTTTCTATATCCATATCGCAGATGTTCAATATATCATCAAAAACGCGTTAAAAAGCAGTCGAAGACACCTTTGTTCGAAGATTAACATATACACAACCAAAGGGATTATCTCAATTTACTTTTTTTTTTTTTTTTTTTTTTTTTTTTTTAATAAATAGACTATACGAATTCGATTATTCATTAGACTGTTACTCAACTAAAAATTATATGCACAGCAGGGCCTCTAAGTTTTTCCTTTCCTATGATTACACCTTTTTGAGCATGGGTAAATGAAGTACTTCTGGTATTTCGATATCCTCTAGTCGAATATCCGATGGATTGAATGGTAATCTTACTGTGTATGAATACATAAGATCCATTAACAGCTGAAAAAGAAGATTGATTATCCATTAATTACTTCTTTATTAACATAGCCGATCCAATAATAGATAGGTGTAGCAAAATTTAGACTTACCTGTTCGTTGTTCTCACCACGTTCACTCAATTTTTCCTGTACCTTCTTGATGAACGAAACTGGCACGCGCGTTTCAAAGTCGTCAGCTGGTGTATACAAATTTAGAATTTTCACTATTTGATTCGCGGTTAATTTGTTGCACATTTCGCACACAGAATTTACGTCTTCATCTGTTTTACGAGCTTGCAAAAGCTGTGCTGCTTGTACAATTGGCTGAAGCACTTCGGATGCTGCTTCTAATCTTCGATCTCGTCCCCATTGTTCCAAATGGCTTAAATTATATCTAAAGACAGCATAATGTTAAGATTAAGTAATCACATTAAATAATCCTAGCAAACCTTCACGAACCTTATTTGCATGCCCTTCGTCCAGTGACAAAGTTCATTCCTGAGAAGCAAGTTATTCAGAGCACTAGCGCACATGAAATAAAACAGTTGTTTGAAAAGTTGCACGACAATCTCAGGATCAACACCATGATATTGAAGAGTTTTATACACTAAAGTAAGTTCATCGAGAAGTTTATTAAGCTTTTGTTGAGTTGATTCTGGCTCCTCTCCCATAGAGGATGATCGTGGTCGACCGAGTTTGTTAGAATTCAAGCCTGATATAGCTTCGTGTTCGAGAAGAGCGGGGACAGTCAGAGCTTGAATCCTTTCTTTAAGATTCGTTACGATATTATTGAAAATCCAAAGCGCCACGTTGCTCAATACAAGGCGATACTCGCTTAAATCGAAATTTCTAAGACATTGCTCATTTTGTCTTGGTGTGTTTTCGATTTGAAAAGGTTTGTCTCCCGAATACTGTTTCATATTATGCAACAATCTCAAGGTGTTGCTGAACCAGAGTACGCTACAATCAAAGTCCTCACGTTTCTTGACTACACGTTTCACAGCATTGAGATATGCCGTTAATAACAATCTCACTTTTTCATCGTCGTTTACGCAGTCTGTATGCCTTATACACATAAAAAGAATATAAGCTGGCAGACCAGGAAGTAATGTCACCGCGATTCTAGGTTTTAACTCTAGAAAAAGAATTATAACAGTTCAAAAGATACTGGCATCATCTAAATTATGTAACATAAATGAACTTATCTAAATTTACCGAAAACGAGATGACGTATTATTATGTTGATATCTTCTTTTCTAAACTCGAACATGCCCTCATAATCTCTTTCTTTCTTCCGGATAACTGGCAAATTACTTCCATTATCTCCCGACTGACTATTGGAAGACATTATCGCAGAATCGCTTACAGATTCTGCAGTATCTGGCACTATAAAAAAGAATTTTAATTTCATTTTATAATTTTTAGTTTTACGAAGTCGAATGGAAATAAATTAATAAAACTGAAAAAACAAATAGATAAATCGAAGATATAAACAAAAAAAGCCGAAAAAGTAAATAGAATGAAGAATGGCATGAAATGAAATAAGTTTGAAAATAAGATAATAGATTATAACAATAATTGTATATAATTATTGTAATAATAAAATTATGACAATTTTGAGTCTCCCATAGTAATATGCGAGGTTTTAAAATTCACATGGCAGATGATGTAATGTTACCATAGATACTAATTTATACGAATTATGGTGAATTATGGTATATGTGAAGTGCAATGGAAATGAACATTGGACCACGCACTCACCGGCGCCCCTTGACATATGAGGGCGCTCCTTATGTTCCTTAGTATCGTCTCCCTCATCTTAGAAAGCATTTAAATATTACACAATTTTAATACTACTTTCCAATAATTTTTACTACGCGACCATTCCTTTTATATCGTTTAAAGGCAAGAAAATTTACACAGTTTGCTTAGTAATGTGTACTCACAGCCTGCATCCCTCAGACGTTTCGCAAGTATTTTGCATTGCCTCTTAAACTTCCTGCATTCTTCTGCTATTTTATCGTATTTTTCTTGCAATTCCTATATCCAAATTATCGTTATTAATAAATGTTATGTTAAAACTTTATTTGATGCAACAACTAAAATTAACTTTACCAAATTTTCAGACGTTAGCCTGGCAATTTCGTGTTGCATATATGCCTCAGTCTGGGTCTGCGGCGATTTGCTCAAATTCACGGATAGTAACTTCTGCTGCTTCTCAATTTCCTCCTGTAACCTATCGATTTCCGCTCGCCATTCATCCCTCTGTGCCCGCCACCCTTTCTCCTTCATTTGAAGCTCGTCTTCTAATTGCCTTTAAATGAAAACACAAAATGTCGATTCACCTATTACTTTCAATAAAATTGTTCAATCGAAAAAAACTGAAGGAACTAGCGCTAGATAGGTAGATGTATGAGATATTTGATAATGAATGACATTCGATAAGTTTTGTTGATTTCTGATAAAGATCGCTGATTAACCGCGGCAAATTATCTGCTCAACTCACTCTCTTGAGGCCTTTCGCTTTGTCTTAAGTCTACTGAAAATTGAAATGCATGCACAAACGACAAAACACGATTAGATACGGTTTAACATTTCTCTTTCGTCAAAAACAAGACTACAAAATTCGAGAAATCTCAAAATACCTGTTGATCTTTTTCTGTGTTTCGAAGGCGAGTACTAATTCGCCGTCTTCGTTTATAATGTCCACATCACGGCCATAATTCGAGCCTAAGCTCTTCATTCTTCGTGTATTATCTGCCAACACGCTATGCAGTTGAATGCATTCTTCTCGTCTTCTCTCAAGCTCTTCTTGAAGCGCATCAAATTGTCCTAAAATGGAAATTATTTATCGCACTCCTCATTTATCCATTTATATCATCCCTTTTATTTCACAAGCAGATTATATGATGTAAAAACAAAGAGAAAGTGCAAAAGAAAAACAAATTTTCTTTTTAATCGTTTATTGCTTTCAACGTTATAAATAGTCACATCAGGGAACGGCATGATATGAACTATGGTTATTCGGTATTAGAGGCGGGAGAATGTGTTTTATTAACGTTAACGTGCATACATCAAGCAGATAAAGGATTGCAAGAAGCAAAATAAAAATCTATGAGGATGCAATATTTGCATATCTTATATACTAAGCTTTGGTTAATGGCACAGCAAAAAAATGAAACATAAAGGTATAATATATTAAAACTAGACTAAACAGAGACATATGAAGAAAGCGACATTCGATTATAATACACGATAAAGCAAACAATGAAAAAATTCCTTAGCCATGTAAATTAACAAATTACCCATGAGATTCTGCTGGGCACCAGTTAGGCCTGTTGAGGAAACGCTTTTTCTTAAAGTACCTAAATCTTTCTTTAATTGAGCATTTTCCATTTCCAATTCTTGAAGCTATAAAATCCAGAAATAGGTATTAATTCTAATATCATCATTGCGTATTACTAACTTATCGCTTCGATAGATCGAACTGCTAAGCACGTAAAATTACCCTAAATGTATCTTGCATCCTCGAAGTTTCTTCGGGACTATCACGTTCTAAATCTTCCACCATTCTGATTAATCTTCCCTTCTCTTTCTCAACATCCTTTAATTTCTGTTGAAGCTTCAACACTAATCCAATATCTACTGGCGCGTGTGTCGGACCATTCGTTTCGGCAGGTGATTTATTTGATTGGACCTCTCCATCGGGTGGACTATCTGACCTTTGCTGATTCCAGTCAATCGTTTCCAGCCGTGAGTAAGGAGTCGAGGAAGAAGCAGTCGATCTTACCGAACCGTAACCCAAATCCTTATTTAAACGGAATTAAACGAAATATTAAACTATATATCACAGAAATGAATTAAATCTAGATAAAAATATATAAAAGATGATTTTACGATATTCTGGTCATCTTGTGGAAGTTCCGTAGACACGATTTGTCCGCTACTGCTGGAAGCATTGCTAAGAGAACGCGAGTGTGCAGGAGCATGCATAGCGAGTTTCTGTTCTAACATTTCTGTACGTTGCTCTAACTCGTGATACTCTTTCAATAATTTCTGATAGGCGCCACGATCCTGGTCTTGGTCCAGCAGGAGAAGATCTTTTTCCTGTTCTAAACGATACTTCAAGTTCTCTTCAGCACCGCGTTGGTTGTTCTTCAACTTTTCATTAGCTACCGAAAGTTCCTTTCGCAACTTTTCGATTTCACCCAGAAGCTCCATATTTTCTTGTTCTTTCTCTTGTGTATTTCTTTCCTTGTCCTAAATAAAATATACGATATTCAATCCCCTATACACAACTTAACCGAACATTTTCAACAATTTACCTGTAAAATATCCATTTTTTCATCTCTTTCAGCTTTCACGATATCCTGAATCTTTTCTAATTCTTTCGCTTTCTCTATTAGTATAGCATTTAATTTCTTATTCTCCGCGTCTACGGATTTCAGTCCTTCTAATTTGTGTTTCAAGTCTATCACCTCGTTCTGAACGTTCTTCAATACTTGATTCTCTTTCATCTAGAAACCAAACAGTGTTCCAACATTCAACACCTTTAACACCAATATTATTCATATATGCCTAAACTTGTAAATAATAATGTTGTTAAAACATACAAGCTCGGTGATCTTTTGCTGCAGGGTCATTATCTTCTTCTCTAATCCCTTGTTCAGAGATTTTACGTGTTCCACGCTTCTCGCTTCAGCTTTCAATCTCTTAAACTCTTTCCTCGCCATATGCCTTCTGATGCAAGACTGAACGGTTATAATATCTCTTAATTTTTTCTTGCACGCCATTCGAACAAGGTAACCCCTGGCGAATCTCTGAATTACAATCGCTGCCGCATTGTCCTTCATTCGTTCGTATTTCTGCCGCGCCAGTTTTCCCCTGCCGTACGTCTGAATACCGAGAATTGTGCGTTTTATCTGGAGATATCGACGCCTCTTCAGCCAACCTTTGACACGAGCTTGAATTTTCGTCGCGGCCCTTTCTTCCCTCACAGCCTGAGCTTTCTGCCTAGCGATGTATCCTCTTCCGTATCTTTGAAGACCAAGCACAGCACATCGAATCTTCTTATACCTACTACGGCATATCAGACCGCGCACCGTTTTTTGGATCATAACACAAGCATCTCGCTGTCGTTCCGCTCGTAGCTTTTCTAGATAAGCTACTTGACCAGCACGAAAAAGAACCTTCGTCTTGCCGAATTTAAATTTATCTTCGTCTTTGATATACCTGAGGAAATTCAAGTTGTTTTATATTCTATTTTTGTGGAATTAACGCATTATTGAGCAATAGATGTACCATTACTTTCGATAACTCTCGATTGTGTTAGAAAAGATGAGTTTATTGTATTTTAGTAGTTTGGAAAGTTCACAGCGAAAGTTAGCAAAAATTTGAATGCATTATGTCATCATAGAAATATACATTTCCAATGACAGATTAATTTTTTTAACTGCTACATTTGGTGTCCAATTAGTATTTGTTAAGTTGTCGTTAAAAGCACATAATAAATATACATATAAAATATTCTATTGGTAGAATTAATCGACTGATCAAAAATGTTGCATGTTTTCTGAATATCCTAATAGGAGATTTATTTTATATTATAAATTTATTATAGAAGGAGAAAGAAAGTGGGACGATAATGGAAAGTGAACGTAACTGACCTGCCCAATATTCGTCGACAGGTTTCTTTGAGGTCGTCGCGTCGAATATCCTTGAATTTACAGAGGCTCCTGTACCTGAGAAAGAATTCGTTGTATGTTCTTTGACTGGGAAATCCAGCGGCGGATATTCTAATCGTCTCTAGGACACCGCAAGCCCGTAATTGCTGCATCGCACGAATTGGGTTGTATTCAAATGCTTCCTTGGTATCGTTTGGTTTGATACAGCGCACGTAATGCGGTGTAGTTGCGTTTAATGTAGACATCAACATATTCAAGGAGTCGCGAAATTGCGAACCTACCTACAGATTTTGTACAACAACAAACATTTATCGACCAAAATCACCAACAGAGAATTACAGCAAAAACTCTGCAGCATCAAATTACCGTTTTCTTATTTTGCTTAGGCGAATTTAATGCTGGCTTTTGAGCCGATACTTTCAGTCTCACGTTCGATGGTACCATAAGCTTCGGATCCTCTTCGCTGAATAACTTCTTCAATAACTTATTCTGAAACAATAAACAGTATGAAAATTTTCTGCATAGCGATCTACGCATAAGGCTATGGCCACAGTGGATGCATTTATAATATTTATATTTTTATAAGTGTACTTTCCAACATTTGGTTAGTTAGAACATGCATCTACTGGAACCATAATCCAAAGCACTGAGTTACGTGAATTTTACATACGTCTCCGTTTCGCAGTACGTCAACCTGTTCCTCGATAACGGTGTCTCTGTTTTTTTCTAAAAATCCAGTCGTTTCGTATTGCACCCGGTCGGCAAAGTGGTGAATCAAGAAGGCAGAAGTTCCGAATCGTGGTTTTTCGAAGTGTTTCGATTTTCCACATTTCGAGTAAAGTTTATCCGCCCATGAACTATCCGAACCTTTCGGCATCTGCATGAAATGGTCATTTGAGTATTGTACGTTTTAGCGGATGAGTTTCTGGAAGAAGAACGAAAAGTATCACCAACCCTACATTCCTCGTCCAACAAATCGAGGATACCCAGTTTCGTTTCGATGAGATCGATACAAGGTTGATTGTCATAGAAGTCTATGAAAGTCCATTCGATCTCCTCCTTAAAATACTCCTCCTGCTCTAACTTGAAGACGTGCTGATTGAATTGTTGTTGAAGCTTCTCGTTCGCGTAATTTATGCAGAACTGTTCGAAAGAATTGACCTCGAACGTCTCGAAACCGTAGATATCCAGGACACCGATGAAACACTGGGGTTTGTTTTGAGAATGCAAGGAGTTATTGATGCCAGCTACGATCCAGTTGAACAATTCCGCGTAAATATGTTTGGCCAGTGCGTCTCTAGCGCCAATCGCTTGTTCCACGTTCATTGGTTTCAAGAATACTTCCCTCATCGACACGATTTTTCTATGGCACAGCCATTTTCTCATCGCGTTTACGTCGGTGCCCAACAGCTCGCACATCATCAATAGATGTTTGTCTGACGACTAAAAAGGTTGCAACAAGGTACATAGAATGTAAAGTAAAATTCTCTTTGATTGAAATGTCCTATCTATTTCGAAACCGAAGAAAACGGAATCTTTTCTATCAACGAAAAATTATCATTTTCTTTGTGCCGTCTTTGTTTTTCTTCGCTTCGCAGAAAATATTTAATCGTTATCTCGTAACAGCCTGTACAACGTAACTATGCTTGAAAGCTAAAATACACGGGATAAATTTCGAATATTTCGCCGTGTCTTGAAAAACGAGAAAGTGCCAGATAGAACATTTTAACCAAATGTAAGCAGAGTGGATCTCCGTTAAGGTAAAATCATGATATTTACATGAATGTAACTGGTTTCGGTGTCGTTTTCATTGCTCGAATTTTGGTTATCGGCATTCCCTATATTCACGTTTCCCAAATGCATAATAGCTGCTAAAATACGAAGCATGTCGTCCTGCTGCTTGGACGAGAATCCAAGCATGGTGAGCGCGCTTATCGTCTCATCGAAACACATCAAGTCATCCACGCCATCTATCAAGGGATCATTTCCTTGATTTAGATAGTGAAACTTACTCTGGTGGCTCAAATGCAAATGAGGTAGACGCGCTGCGGCTGCGCACATTTGATAAAATATATGATAATTCCTTTCCTCGTATGTCTAGAAAATCATTCGTTTAACTAACCGGCTCATTTGTAAAGAAACGAACGCGAGAGGTGTACTAATTAATAATACCTGAAACACGACTCTTGACTTTTCCAGGAGATAAGTTCTCATACTGGCCCCGGTGATGTGGTAGTGTTTGTTAAATTGAATCTCGATAAACTTCCCGAATCTCGAGGAATTATCGTTTCTCGTTGTCTTTGCATTACCGATAGCTTCCATGATCGGTAGAGAGGCAAGGACTTTCTTCTCGACCTGCGTCTCGGTCGTTGAACCACCGACGGTAGCGAAATATCGCATCGTATATTTTGCAGAGACAGTTTTTCCAGCGCCGGATTCTCCAGAAACGATAATAGATTGGTCGTGACCTTCCCTACGTTTATTATGCAACATTTAAATACTCTAACCATCACCTGCCTGTATAACCTTTAACCCTCTGAGTGTTTAATCCGTACAGACAACGCTTCTTCTCAACACCATACAGGTAATTTAAGATTCTATCCTCCTGAACATTTCAAAATCATCGACCGTCTTAACATTAGAAATATTCTTGCTTTTTAAAAGATCTCCTGTCATTTGTCAGTTATTTTTAAATATTTTACTTTTCTCGATTCGAGGCATTTACATATTTTTCACCTATTGGCATTAAAATCAGAAAAATCTAAATAGGCTTATCATTTCATTGTTTATCCTCTGCCATCTTCTTACATTAAATTAAAAGTCCAAAGATGTGAGTGTATTTTGTATTCTTTGTACGCTTCTCGCTCGGTATTAGGCTTTTAAGTTATTGGTACCTTTAGCGAACACTCAAAGGGTTAAGTAATTTGTGACAGAGTAAAGAAGCTTTCAACCTTTCCAGCTTGGTGTACGCTTCTTCAGCGACGGCGAATATATGAGGTTCCAAATCGCCCATCGCCTGACCCCTGTACGCCCATATCGTGTCGTTGCCATAAATTGGAAGTTCATTGTATGGGTTAAACGCAACCAAAACGATACCGCAATAAGTGTAAATACAGTGTCGTTGAAAACGAATCTGTAGATTATACAGAACAGCTGGCTCGTGAAGAAACGACAACGATGTCAAGTTATTCTCCCCTATAAGTATATCAGGATTTCTTAACGGTGGTAAATCGGAATCTGATTTGATCTCCAAGACCTTCGTCTGATTGGAATCGTCCGTATTAACTTTCAAGGTTCCCTGTTTTAATTTGTAATCTTCCAGAAGCACCGCGCCTTCCCAAACCTTTTCTGGGTGCGGCACCCATACCTTACCACCCTGAAAACACATATTCCTCTTCAATGCGTCTATTTTTATTTTTATCAAGCATCTGTGCATCGACATGGTACAATACAGTTCGTTACGATGGCAAATCTACGGATGCAACGTTGTACAGCAATAATAGAACGAACCTAATTCTACCATAACTTTAACTCCAACGAAACACGGATTCCTTTTCAATATCACTATTTTTATTAAGCACCTGTGCGTCAATATAATAAGTACTTTACAGTTTGTTATGATGGTAAATTTATGTTAGCGATATAACGTTGAAAAGTACTTCGCGCTATCATTATTGTTTTAAAAGTTAAGCTTCGCGATTCAACGGTGAAATATCGCCTTGAGATACGAGCCCAAGCAAGAAGTTTTTCAACTACGCGAACGAGCTCGTACGAGTTAATTACTCAGCGTCTAATTTTCCTTCTTTTAAAAAGATGACCTGCTTTTCCTTTTTGCGAGAAGTACGTATGAAAATGAGGTCGGCAATACAGCATATCGATTACGACGCCAACTGCGCCAAATCGAGATTGGTTATCGCATTAGAACCGTTATTACTCTTTTACCGCGACACGTTTTTCCGTAACGTGTTTGAAAATACAGTGACTATAAAATTATCGATTTCTGGAGAAACGTTCCCCCAAAAAAGGGGAAAGATATTTCCTTCTTCCAGAACGAAACGAACACTGTTGAGTATCATTTTTCCTAATTATAAAATCATCGACCCTGAAGGAACTTTTCCAAAAAGGGAGAAGATATTTCAAAGATGTAACAAACACCTTTGAACGTAATATTTTCTAATTACAAAATTATCAATTCTAAAGGGACTTTTTCAACAAAGGAAAAGGCACTTCAAAGATAAAAACCAACACTGTTGAACGTAATTCTCCTTGGAAGATAAAAAGATTCGTAACGGTATCAAGGAAATGGTTCTTCAGCTTGTCTCGCTATCATACAAATGAGACACGAAATACCAAAATGTACTGTTATCGAGCACGGTGTACAGACAAAAGACGAATTACGTGAGCTGAAGAAATATCGTGCAACGGTATAGTTTGCTGTCTTCTCTAAACGTCGTTGTATTTACGCTGTCGCGTTTTGATATTCGAAAACCGGTTAAAACGATTGAAAACAGTAAAGTGTTTATGCGTGCTCTGCCTTTAAACAGAATAGTGACACGCGTATATGAGACAGCTATGGCTAGGAAGAAATGAAAATTAACCAAGAACTCTTATGACTCAACTATTATGCAAGACATCGTTCGAAAGATACCGAGAAAGAATCAAGAAGAATATATGTAGATATCCATATATGTAGATATGCTACATACACAAATTTCATTTTCAACGGCGTCGATATTTTAATTAAAAGCAACTTCATACCTCGGTATGCTATCACTAAAATTATTAAACCAATAATTACAACTTTCTCGCAATATGGAATACTTCTCCCTTCGCGGGATTATTAACGGAACGATTAACCTCGAAATTTTGAACATCACCATGTTTAGACGTTCAGTTGTAAACTATGCACTATAATTCAGCAATGATTACTAACGCCACGTTACTCTAAGTGTAGTTATTGTATCTTCGCGTTTCGAGGTTAGTTGATTGCTGACTTTGCAATTTCAGATTGTGCAATTACGAATTCCACCTTTCCAGTAAACGTAATTTGTGACACATCGATAAATTTGAATGGAAAAAAATTCAACGAAATATGTATTTCCTAAATTCGAATCCCATCTAAATCATTGAAAGAAAAGTATTACGAAATATTTCGACGATAACGAACAGCAAAGTAGCAGACAAATTCTCTTCACGATTTCAACGTTTCTCCGTACATTCGATTCGTACTTATTCGATCGTGCTTACTTTTCGGAAAGTAAGTGGTCGATGACTCGTAGAATATTCTATTGTTCTAATTCCAGCAAATCCTACCCTTTCTCTTACGATGAACGTTTGATGGTTCACTTCGTTCGTCAAAGTATACCAAAGAAGTATTATACGTAGTTCCCATGCTTTCTACGTTACGTACCAAATAACGATTACTCTGTTAAGTCTTACTCACGGAAAGCTATATAAAAAGTAAAATCCTACCGGGTTCCCACGCGGCTTGTTAATTGAAAAGGTGGTCAGAATGAGAGCGAACCGCGCGCGATTCAATCTAAGCGCGACAATCGCTAAGTTCGAAGATGAGAATATCCGACTTTCCCCTCTTCCTTTCAAATTAATTGCTGTTCTCTCAACCTCGACTTCTCTCACGGCTTTCGTAAGTTGCGTAACTAGTAATTAGGTACGTAAATCTCTGCTTCCCATTCATGAATATTTCGGGTCTATCCTAACCATAACTTTCATCGAATGCGAAATTCCAGAGGAAAAAATTTTCAATAATATCGTTGTGCTCCTCGACCAGCTGAAGAGATAATTTCGAAGATATTTCTGACGCAGTGCAACATAGTATCGCAGAAATATAGGGGAAGTTCTGGTATCTACATGAACGCAGTCTACTCGCATGTTGTGTTTGAGCTTCGCCAACAGACCACCGATCTACGGCTTCTGTCGCGTTCTATTCACGACTCGTTTCAATGTTCAAACTACGTAATTTTTTACTACGTTCGATAACTTCAATATTATCGATTATTATCATCATTATTATTGTGAAAAACGAATGGAACGTAACAACGTATCTTTATATAGTATGTAACGCGTGCCAGGGAATTTATCAACTTTTTCGTCGATATAAGATACAATTAGAAAATTCATTTCTTGACAATAACGACCTCGCGATAACAATTTTATGACGTCATCACGATGACGTTATTCCACGAACATCTAATTTTATTTTTAATATTCACGTAAACATAGGAAGGGGAAGATACATGTTATAATCTTATCTACAACCGTGAAACCACTCCAGAATGAATCATTTTGACACTGATTCCTCCCACAAAATACATCCAGATTTCACGACTCGTACGTATTCGCCTAACAAGAGAATACAACTTGGCGAGCTTTAAAATGCGTGGGGATCCCCTGCACGCGTATCTCCGATTGTTCTGCTCGCTTATTGATCAAAATGAAAGCTAAGGATTGCGGAAACCTTTCTCTTGAAAATTAAGACCCTAACGTAATAACGTAACACAAGTGGCGTAAATATACTCCGGTAATGTAGATACGTTTGAAATTGCCTGTCATATTCTTTTATGTACGTCCGACGTGGGAAATAATTTATCTTCGCACTTGTTCGTTTGTTCAATACGTAACAAATAACAATTGCGATCATTGTTAACGTTCCTCGGTGTCTGCTATCTTTTCTCCTGCTTCTGTTATTGTTGACGATTTACGCAGATGTGAACTTTAACATTTATCGCAAAATGCTATTCGCGACTGTGTTGCCAAGGCTTAACGTTGTTACGCTTTCAGCAGCAAATCCGAAGTACATTTAGAGAGCATCATGCTACACCTAGAAACCGCTTGACGTCGTGTTTGTCGTCGAGAGATCGATCGCCGTAGCTCGGCATCGTTGTTCCTGAGAAAGGTTCTCCGTTATCGAGAATAACCAGGTCAAGTTTCCCGCCCACGTATGATTTTTACCACGTGCGTCGAAATTGGCACCGTTAACACCGGTGGCGAGTTACCGTGTCACATGCACCCTGTACACCCAACAGTTTCCCTTTCAATCGGCTAAAGATAAACGTGCCTTTCATACCGAGTACGTATTTCTTGATTGCGGCCTCTATCATATCGTTTGATCATGTTCGATGTGTTATCGATCTCAACTATGCAGAAGATAGATATAAGTCGAGTCGCGAAAGTATTTGAGCATTTATAGGAACTATAGAAACATTTCTGAATCTATTATGCGTTGTATAAAACGTTTCAAATTTCGATAACGCTAGAAAGAGATACAGCTACCGTGATGTCATTTGTAAAACTTGGAACCAATTCATATTTGGTATTACTAACTTCGATAATAAGGAAGAGAGTGCTAACAAAGCTTTAAAAATGTCCTATATTATACCTGTATATGTAATAGATTGATAAGAGAAAGAGAGAGGGAATGTCTACAACTATTCAAACGCTTTCTCGAGCCGCTATAATTTAAAGGACAGCATATAAACTGTAACTGCAAATGCAAATCTAAATGCACAATGTTCATCGAGCGAAGTTTACGAGCGTGAGAATGTGAGTTCATACTTTCAGTGTTGAGTAAGATCGCGAAGCGGGATGCCTTCGTGAGAGACTGCTATAAGGAATCCTCCGTTTTTCACGGAGGTTGCACAAAAGGGCGATCGAAACACCGTATTTAACCAAGCGACAGTTTTGTTCTCGACTAAATTGCTGTATCACGGTGCTGTCGTCACGAGACAATGGAAGTCTACAAAAATGCGTTCTTCGTATTGTACACGTATTTTTCAAGGCATCGGAGATCAATTTACGAGCGTGGAAGAATTAGAAGGGCAGAATGACGAAAATATTTCTACGAAACCGTTATACCCGGATTAACACATTGGTCATCGTGGGATGACGAGTCTCAAAGAAATCTTCCTTGACCTTTCGGATAAAATCACGCGAAGCATAATGTCTACGATAGTGACTCCTTGTGCGCCTCCTTGTGACGGGCCACGAAGAAGCAAGGAGAACGACCTATTCCAAGACGCTTTGCTTTTCTGTTCCGAGAGAAAGGGAACTGCCCGTTCGTAAGAGAAGTCTTAGCGATCACGTTCCTCGAACTGATCGTGCGAGCAACAGTCTCGAATGGGGTTAGCTTACCTTTAAATGTAAAGGTGCGATCGAGACTACGGTTCGTGTTTCAATTTATTGCATAATATAATTTCATTATTTCCTTGTGTCTCAAACCGGCTAGCATCGTACCTAGACGACATTCTATTTCATTATGAGTTCGCCTGTTACGTTCAAACGTGTCGAAACTAGTTCGCAAAACGTTAAGCACTTGCTATTGCGTAATTAATTGTTACAAGAGTTTCGCGCCAGGAAACATTTTAACCCTTAAAGGTCATCGTAAGAAAATTTACCTGGAAGCATCTTCTCTAAATCAAGAAAATAACAAAATCGAACCAGTGGAATTAGATGTTTCGTTATTATTTGACACTAGAAGAAGCGTGGAACGATCATCGTACGCGGTAATTACAAATTAATATTACGATCACGTCAGGAAATAATTTAATCCTATGTTAAAAGAACATGAAAACCGTCGAAGAAGTATTTCAAACTGAGAATGAAAAATTATAAAAATAATATTTGGACATTGTTTCCTAGAGTCTGTTTCTTTCTTTGCCAGCATTACGTGTTAATAAATAATTGTTTCGTAAATTCCCAAAGAGCTTTTCCCTGAGAAACTAGTTCGAATTTTGCAATTTTTGAAACACATGTACGATATCATTATAGGCTGACAATAAGAAAACAAAAATTCGTATTAATAAATTCGTGGCCTTTAAGAGTTAAGCTGTGTTCGTACGCGATATATTATTCTCTGTTCGCGTTTATAAATCGTAAAACTCAAAGACCATCCATAAGATGACTAAATCAATACGCGCGTTCTGTACTGAGCAATAGGTGTCCCTGACTTTACCAGTATCTACAGATGTAATGTCGATTAACGGTTGCGGGTGTATTTTAGCGACGTTTCTCTTACTATTTGTAGTTAGCGCTATTAAAAAGCAAATATCATTGCAGGCAACTTGGACGAAAATTGCGATACGACCTCGGACAACCCCCGCAGTTCACTTGACCAAGGCAATAAATCAGCCAAGATGGAGAGCCACGGCACGGCCTTAAAGGGGCAGGTTCGGGATGGACTAAACTCTCTGTTCTCGTCGACTAAGTATTCTCACAGTATCGTTCCCTTACGTTCACTGTGCAATTTGTACGTAACATTCTCACGCATAGTAAGACCCAAGTAATTATCAGCTAATTCAGAACACCGTATCCCAGTTTTCATTTCTGCATGGTTAACAGATATTTCCTCGTGGGTAAGTTATAATTAAATGCGAGCAGAATCTTACTTTTTAATATTTTAGTTTACCTGATTTTTGTATAGACAATTTGCCTAATTATTATAACGATTATTATTAACGATTATAATACAACGAGAGACGATACTTAGTCTGTCTACGAGCGATACTTAGTCAGGGACATAGCTAATGCTTCGACGCAATAATATCTTGTCAAGAAACGCTTCGTTTGTATACAACAAATGTTATCGTGGTCGACAACCTAGTCGTAATCACTGGTTTTAAAGCGAAATTTAGGTCTTGAGCCTCCGAGCTTCTATACGACAATTATTGATTTTTGTTTTAAAAAGAACTTCTGGATTTTAGACTTGTTCGTCCCTCGTTCTCCACTACTCTCTGTTATAAACCAGAATTATAATTCACGTACCTGTCGTTGTCGTATCGTTTAAATCATAGAGAGTATCGAATCTCTTTTTTGTACAAGCGAGATCGATGAGATACGTGTAACTATAATTTGAAATGTCATATTGAGAAGGTCATGCATAGTTCGAAACAGTGCAAATTACTGCTATAAAAATTGAAAGGAATAGACACCTTTTGTGAAAGTAGTAGTTAAGTTTGAGAAAGACATCTTCGATCGAATCGATAATGAATACTTCCCAACTAATTGCAACAATATATTGTCTATACCACAATTTTCTCAAACAATTAACCATGCACGATATGCATCGGCGATAGAAAAGAAGAAAGTTTCGTTCGATTTTACAAAATAATATTCAATCTTCCTTGCTTCGTTTCAGGTTTTAACGACGCGCTTCGAACTTTTCCGAACTTCAAAAACGTAATCGATAACGCATTTCCATGCACTTAAATTCGTATAAAATGAAACGAGAGTAATATCAGGCAGACAGATAAGATCGATCAATCTTTTTTTGAGCCAGATATTCATCCGAAATCGAGCAGCTATATTTTAAAATTTTTATCAGGAAATCGGTAGAAGGAATAGAAGCATCCGAGTGTTTTAAAACACTGAATAACTCCCAGGGAAAATTTCGCATACGTTTACATGAGATCTACTCCAACATATTTACCGAAAGACCTCCTCTGCTTCTCTGCAGAACGGACTCTTCCATTCGGAATTTTAAAGAGAATACGCAAATGCAGTTTGCACAATATTATAAAACTAGATACGCCAGCAATAACTATGGAAATATTCAGGGGACGTCGGAGACGTCGTTTAATTCGTTTTGTAATTCGACAATGATCCAAACATCTCTCTGTTGTTTTCAAAGAATTACTAGACTCACGATCATTTTCACGATAATATACATTTTTATTTGTCATTATTGGAACTTATTTATTCGATTCACAAACTCAAACTAAATTTCTACCTCTTGTACTATTTTATAATGGAAGAGATATTCTCGCCAGGCTTTAAGAGAGATTTCATGAAAAGGTAATTGTAAATGTCAACAGACAAGCTTGTCACAATGCTACTAAACCAGTTGCCATCGTAGAACTGGATTCGTGTACCTGCGATGGCCTGAGAATCTGAACTGGTTCGTACCTTCACGTATAACTCCCTCGTAGTCATCTTTGTTGGTCCAGGTGCTCACCTGGGTCAGGTCAGATACAATCGAGGAGAGCAGCACCCACAGCCACACACGATTTCACTCACACACGCACACACCTCAGCACAGATAAGAATACCTACGACATTTGTCGTCCAATCAAAAGTTATACGCGCTACAAGCACAGTGATATTCTTTCGACTATACAATACATCCTGGTGTCACCTGAGGTGCGGTCAAGGCATGTTTCTGTTTTTGTTTTTTCTCTTCTTCTTCTTCCTCTTCTTCTTCTTCTTCTTCTTCTTCTTCTTCTTCTTCTTCTTCTTCTTCTTCTTCTTCTTCTCTGTTCCCTTTGCTTTGCCTTGTTTCGATCAGGAATCACCAAAAATCGATGGATCACCAATTACCGATAACAAGAATCACAGGTAATCGTTTTAACAATTTCTGATTTTGTGACACTGTCTCTATCGTTTTTCAAATTTCTTCGTTAGAATCATTCGACAGTGATTGGATAGAGAAATGAATTTTCGCGAAGGCCGTACTTCCACGTAAACGTCGTCCGACGGCACTGCCACCAGCTGGTTCGTTATCGGGTTTAGATTCGGCGCCCCTCTTCGACTCCTTGCACGACTACTCTTCGGCTTTCCAGCCGAAGCAACCTTTTCTTTCCTTCTTTTCCGTATTCGTTCTGGCTATCGACGTCTCTCTTCGAAGATCGAACTACGAGTTTTACGCCATCTTACAGGCGAATCGAAAAATCAGACGAGTGGATTTTCTCACATCTTACGACAGTAAATTAGAATTGTTTCAGCAATCTTCTCTATTACGAAGTTTCATCGTTGTGAAATAAATCTTAGAATGATCTTTTTATTAACGAAATTGTAACGACATATTACCTAACAGTCGTGGCAAACATCAATTGCGAACACGTTATTAATTGTTCGCTCGTACGATACGTTATCAGCATTCGTAGATAGCGAAATACGAATGTGTATTAACGATGGACAGCTTAGACGCGAATAGACGTGCAATTACATTGACGGTAATACTTTTTCAAGTCGCACGATTTCAGGGAATCGGATGAGTTCCTTATCATTTTGGTGTCACATGCGACGTTATCGATTCAGTATAAAATAAGAACGCGATATTAGTAGCGGTTGGAATTACAGTGGAATGTAATTATGAAACGACTACTACTAATTATATAAATTTCCTAACTATAGAAAAACTTAATCGCGATCGCAGCCAACCAACTCGAATTATTTCCAATATAATTCGTAATTTTATTGTATACTTAAAAACTTATAGCTGGCGATATAACGTAATGTATACATACTTCCTATATTTTATATAGTTCGATAAAAAAGAAAAGAAAAATGAAATCGCATCTCTATAGACACTAAAAGTTAACTGTATACTTAACCATTAATTGCATAAGGAACTATCGTACAAAAAATAATTTCAGTTATCAGCGTGATTTATTAACGCCAAACGGATAGAGTTCTATCATGGCATTTTTCCAATTGGTTCTGAAAGCCAACAAATTGGAAAAACTGAGGCAAAGTTATGAGGATGAAAAACTGGCATCGATTGAGATTTCCAAGGGTATCGTCAAACCTGTGTATACTTTGAAGCAGCAAATTCGTCGAAGAAAAATATGGTTAGACTGGAGCTTTAAATAATCGAGAAATTTTGACTTCGTTTTTATATTAACTATGTTTGGAAAATCGAGACAGGTTTAAGAAGAAGGTTACACACCTCTTAGACAAAATCTTTGCTATTTTAAGAGATTCTTGGATACATAAAAAGATTGTTGTAATTCGTACCGATGGAACATTGGAAAATTACATAGCAAAAAGCTTTGCAGGATTCGTTGGTGGAATATTCTTGACGTACATATTTTTCATATTTTTCGTTTTTCAATTGCATTTTAAGCTGTCGTCTGCGACGTTCCTCTGTACAATAATAGGAATAATTCTCACTCTTGGTCTTGCATTTTCTTTCCAAGTCCGGTACGCTATGATACGCATATATATTTATCATACATATAACATGTACGATATATTCTTGGTAGTTTAAATAAATAGAAAAATATTTCAGATGCGTTGTGTTTCTTCTCTTGCCGCAATTTTTCTCGAAACGCGGAAGGCAAGCTTTAATGGCGTACGCGTTTATTTTAGCTTTAACAGGACCAGTGAAGAATACTATGCACAACATCGGTGTACTTTCAGAGTCACTAGCCTGTGCGCAAGTACGTATATCGCTCTATATCATTTTACGTCATTAAATTCCCCGTTCTCGAATATCGATCGCATTCACGGTCAACTAGAAAATATCGTTTACTCTCCAGGAACAGTTAAAGGAAGCGGTAAAGACCGTCATAGATTTAGCAAAACAACCGTTTTACGCTTTGCGAGAAGCAATATCGAAAGTCATAAAGACGATCAAAGTGGTCGTAAAGAAGATTAAACAGACTCTAATTGCGATTAAAAGAGTCGTTCTTAGCATACGTAAGTAGAATTTGTGTACAATCTATTAAACGTTTTACAACCTGCATCCTTTACTTCGTATCTCATCATAGTTAGAGTTATCACTGCGGTATTCGAATGGCTGGGAAGTATCATAAGTATATGTAACAAAAAGTTGGGCACACCTTTCGACAGGTGCCAAAGCGTTTTTGAAGGAGCAGTGGCGGATTGCAAAGCAAAATTGGGTCCAATTTTTGGATTGGTTTGCAACGTAACTTACGTAGTCAGTAGTCTGTGTTACATAGTGAAGCCACTGGACTTCATTTGCATGCTTGTTTCCTATATCGCTGACAGCGTAGTTGGTGTCGTAAGGAGCAGTAAGTTATCTTGAAATAAATTTGAATTTTCCGTGTTTCTTTCCCCCGAAGACGTTTTTACAGTCGCAATTCGTAGAAATTAAGAAGTTCACGATGCACATGAAAGCGATGTTCTACGTTAAAGTTAAGTTCTCCCATTCGTTTCATTTCGAAACGAACCAAAGCAGGACGATACAAGACGTGTCCACGAGTATTACTACAGAAATACGCTCCAGAACAGACAAACTCTTTGGTTTCTTCGATTTCATGAATTTCATCACGTCCTTTTTCATGTTCTTTATCATACTCAGGTAAAGTAATGTAACTGTTACATCGATAAGAATAGTTGGATAATTATGAATTTATTCAATCGTGTAATTTCAGTACGTTCGCGCATTTCTCTAAAACAATGCCAAAAATGGAATATTCGATATAAATTGACTATACGATCTAATATTTTCAGAGTGTTACGCTATCGTTACAAATGGTTAACCAGCGAGCGTTTCGACAATCGATACATAACCGACGATCTACGTACCATCGATTTGATAAGAACACGTCAAGACAAGGAGACAGTTTTGCCACTGAATCGACGCGAACGAAACAAATACGTACCGCTCTCTTCCGTCATATTAATAAAATCCGAAAGAACAAAATTATCAAAGTCTATCATATTCTTAAGCCTAGCTACGGTCAAACTTATCACGTACATGTTGATAGATTATTGTCTTTATTGGGTACTGAACACCATACAACTTTACGGACGATTTCAAAGCAAAGTAAAATGACGAACTATTATTATTAGACTGCTGATAATTATTGCAATTACTTCATACAGTAATACGGCATTCTTTTAGGTCGAACGACCAAACATGGTAACTATTCACGTATCGGGCGATGGGTATTTAGCTGACCTTTATAAAAGTATCGTAAAAGCATTCACGCCACACGGACAGGGAACAGAAATCGATACGATGCTTTGTCTTCCGGATCCTGTAACACCGGATTTCGATAAATACACTCAGATTCTCGTTTTGATCTTTCTCTGTTGGCTGATGGCATTTTTCGAACCTTACGGTTTACGAATGAGACAGGTAGTCATGTGTCAGTATTATCCCGAGAGAGCAAAGCAGAGGGCAGCTTGGTTGTACAATTACATCATCAGGTATCCAATTTCTCCATATCCAAGGTATCTATCTGGTGAACTTATTTTAATTACAGACGGCTCGAAATCTGTTTTTTAGATTCGCCAACTTCGAATCCGAAACTTTCGAAATGCGAAATACTTATTTTCTCCTAATTTTTACTTCGAACTAGGTCAAGGGGCAATTTTTTGAAGTTTGCTAGACGCCAATTGCGCCGAAAATTTGGCCTGACCGAAGGGGAAAAAATCGAGAAAGTGACTTTAAAAGAGAAATTGTGGGCCACGTTTCCCTTATTGAATATATTTTTCCCATCGAAACAAAAAGCGTGTCTTCTGTGTGGCACAGTGGAACGTGACGAGGATCCGCATGTTAAATGTCCAACTCCTGGTTGTATTGGCCTATATTGTACGCAATGTTTCGCGGATTTGCAGAATTTGTGCACCATTTGTCGGTCACCGATGGACTATGGTGACTTATCCGACATGAGTGAGGAGAAGTAAATTAATTAATGATAAAAATCCTGAATCGGCTAACCGGTGATCACTAACGCCCTTAAAATATTAGAGACTCTTCGGAAGATCAATTTGAAATACCAAGAAGAGCGTTGCTAAAACCTGAATTGAAATTGGAAGAAGAAGAAGATAAAATAAAGGATGAGGAAGGTAAAATGATGGGAGAAGAATACGAAGCAATGTTAGGCGAAGAATATGAAACTGAAGAGGAAGAGATGTTAGATAAAGAATATGGAGCTGAAGATGAAGAGATGTCAGGTGAAGAATATGAAGTGGAAGATGAAGAGACGATGGGTGAAGAATATGAAACTGAGGATGAAGAAATGTTAGGTGAAGAATATGGAGATGGAAAGATATTAGATACAGAATATGAAGGTGAAGAGATATTAGGAGAAAAATACGAAAATGGAAGGGTAATAGAGGGAGAAGAAGAAGAAGAAGAAGAAGAAGGAGAAGAAAGAGCAATGAAAATGATAGCAAAAAAAGAAGGAAAGATAGAAGACAAAGAAGAGATAAAAGTAAAGAACGAGAAAAAAGAAAACAAACTAAGAGCCGAGCAGGCAGAGAAAATGGAAAGAGACGTCGGTGAACAGACGGATGATAAATCCTTGGAAGATCTGGATCAAAGTACCGAATACAGTTACAGTAAGAATTTAACGTATAGTTGTGACAACCTCATTAAAGTGTTCTACATTAACCGTGTTAATTGTCCCAGCGTATCAAGATGAATCTCCTGAGGAAGTCGAAATCGAGAAAACGAGGAAACGATTCAAAGACGTGGAAGCACAGAAAATTCGAGACGACGTAACAATCCAAGTGCGTTTCAACGTGATACAGCAAAGTCTTTTCGACCAATATCAACTTCATTAAATGGTTTATCTTCTTGCTACTGTTTCAATATCGTTTCGTATTTAGATATTCAACCAACCGTTCGTAAAAGAATCGATCTCGGGCAGTGAATCACCAACTTCTGGCTTCGTTGTGAGGGCACGTAGAAAAGTTCGTGCCAAATTAAAAAAGCGGCCGTTTGCCGAGGTGAGAGATTCGGATTCATCAAGTTCGATTGCCGACACGGAATCCTGGCCGAGTGAAGATGTCGACGAAGAAGAAGTAATACACATAGAAATAGACGGCGATTCGGAAGAATTACTTCCGAAGGATAGAAGGAAACTAGGTCGTATAAATAGAATCGTCGATGCAGTTGCGAGAATTCCTTGGCTCGGTAAAGGAGAGGTATGAAACATTCTAATCCCTCCGAATATGTTCATATTTCTGAATCATTATTCCTTGGGGAAGGATTTAACGTTTTATTGAAAGGACAGAAAGTTTGCTTAAACTTCGTTTTAAGGCACCTCAAATTTTTGATCCATCGTTTTCTAAAAAGTACTATCGAACGATATAGAGCGAAATTAAAAATTTATGCAGCTCACTCTTTTTTAAAAACACTGGAAGATACAGAAATGAATATAGAATTTAGAGTATCCATTTTGTTGCAAAAAGAACCATTTAAAATGGAATTTAGTGGAAAATCTGATCCAAAGAAAGAAATTTATCGCTTCGACAGAATGACGAGAAGACACGCAAAGGATTGCAGAGGAAACGTCCATCCCTTATGAATAAGATTGTCAATATGCTTCACAGAAAGCAATCAATACCAATCCGATCGTATAAAAAAGTTAGAAGGACGAAGGATTCCTCGCCCTCTTCTTCCTCCTCGTCTGACGAGGAAAACGAGAGTCTGCTAAAAGTGCAAGACAGAGACACTGATAGTCCGTCACACTTGGCTAGAAGGAGAAGTAGAAAGACAACAACGGAAGATACTTCTGATGAAACTCTAACTAGGAGGCTGTCGTATGAAAAGAATTTCCAGACGAAGCCATTACCAAGGTAATGTTGTATAAAAAATGAAAGACTATAATTATTTTTAATTTGTATCTAATTATTCAATAATAGCAAGTATTTCTTATTGTACATAATTATTTTTAACAAACGTACGATAAAACAGGCATCTGGAGTTTGCTGTGAAAGACACATCTTATTTCGAGGTAGATGAGACTAAAGACTCACGAATACGAAAATGTGTTCGCCAAGTAGAGGATATCAATAAACCGTCAGACATAAAAGTGCCTACAGGACTTAAATATAGAGACACGTGGAGCACCACAGAAAACGACGAATTAGTATTATCATATTCATACTATAAAAAATGTGTATATAACTTTATAACTAGACTCTGGATCTCTGTGTATTTATTCGAAATTTGGTGAAAGAATTTCATAGAATAAAATTGTATAGAATATTCAAAGTACAGGTACTCGTCGTAATATTTAATAGGTGAAACAAATCTCTACCAAGCTCCTACTCTTCTAACTATTCATATAAGAACATAAATCCGCAGTCTAGTTAACATTATAAAATACCAGAGACGATGAAAAAAAGACGATTCTTTTGCTTCTTCTAGGATCTTTGCTCTTGCACATCAGAGATCACGTTTGAGACAACTGCAGATAAAGATATTTATTCATTGGGTATGAGCACTATATCGGAACAGACAAATAGAGTTAGTCAGACTGTATCTAAAGGTAAGACAGATTACACAAAGGTGACAGAACCGTGGATCAAACAAAAGTATACGAAGGATGATTTTTCTGAATACAAAGACTCGAAAGATTTAGAGCAAGAAAACACGGAATTAGAAGAAAACAGAAAGATAAAAAGCATAACTACGAAGAAAATAAAGGACAGAATAGAACCATCGGAAGAAATTGCGACAATTTACTCAGATACAGATAATACTTCATTATATGATCCAACAGCAGATTTAAAATTATACGGCGTTGGTCATAAATCGAGGAACCGACAAGCGACTATGGAAGAAGTTGCAGGATCTAAAATGCAATATTCGGAAGTGAAGGCAACAATCTCAGAAGGAAAACTTCTGGAAATTGATACTGGAAATAAAAACACATTTTTCGACAAGCTAATAAGAAAGACAAAGTTCGATAAAACCACCGATCTATCAGATAAAAACAAATCCATTCAAACAAAATTGCACAAACATGATAGAAGAGATAATCATATTGAGAAAGATACAAATATCGCAGACGCAAGAAAGTTTGGTGAACTTTCTAGAGAATTAAATAAGGAGAGTAGAAGACAGAAAGAAAAGCATCGTCGAAGGTAAATACCAAAATAGATAGCAAGGTAAGTACATATTAGGTTGTTTGGCGAATTTATGACGAAAGTAAACAAAGATTTAAAGGAAATTAAACATTTTATCATTTGTAACTTCGCGACTTTTCAAGCCTTTATGTCTTCAGTTTTCTTGAAAAATGATTTACCTCCACCTATAATGATAATATCTTAGGTATTAAGAATAACACGAATGATAAGAATAATAGCTTTTATAGACTTTTTATTAGGCTCTAGAGTATTTAAAAAAATTTCTTGCTTATATCTGACAGATAAGTTTGGCAAAGACCGCGATAAATAACAATGAGCTTCAACAACGTCTCATTGACGAAAAGAAATTTTTCTCTTTAATACTCTTTAGTATTCAACTAAGGGAAACATTTTTGAACATGGCAGGTCAAAACGAAGAAAAGGCAGTGGTTCAGAAAAATCAACGTTAACCGATGACGAAGAGATTTATCCTGAGCTTAAATCACGATCAAAAGAATCACGTCGATTTGTTCCCGAAACTGTTGAAAAAGGAAGCGAAGCGGAAGAATTGAAACCACACGAAAATGAATACTTTGCTGGTGAATCTCCATCGCGAAGTTATGGACCAGATATTTGTAAGAACTGTGCTTCCGATCATCCAGAGATGGCGAAACGAAAATTTGAAATGCCTATGGTAAAAAGATACTTGCCTATGTATCAGAGTCCAGGACTGATCGAAGAATTGAAAAGGCATGATCGAATGAGATTAATTCAAGAGAGAGAAATTAGAAGACGGAGAAGTGGAAGTTCTCGTCGATCTTCAGATGCGGAAGATCGAAAGGTCGATCGTTCTCCTGCACCTGATTCATCGGTAAGTAAACAAGTTTCTCAGGAGAAGTGTAATACTCTTTGAAAGTGGACAACAAAATTATTTACTCAAGATATATAATGTTGTCAAAAGGGACAGATTCTAGGGAACAATGATCAAATTTTTAATTTTCCATTCTTATCGCATAAAATCCCTTGCCGACGGTTTTGATACTCTAACAACACAAAAATGATTCATGTCGTTACATTTTTGAAGTACATATACTATATGAGACAGAGTATCGCTTTCGTTAAAAAGATAATTATTTCGCTTTAAGTTTAAACCGAAAGAAAAAGATGGCAGACTTGCTTATCAAGAGTCGCAAGCTTATAAAAATGTCTTACGCGAATTTCAAATAAGGGCTGGACGTCAAGAAGTTCGTAAGAAACCTAGAAATAGGATACCGTTAATATGCTTGTCTGAAAAGGCAGACAAAAGCAAAGAAGTGGAGCAACTGTATCCACGTGAAAGACAGGCCCGACAAAAGCCGAATGTGATGAAGAAATTCGCTCATAAAATGGTAGCACCATTCAAGGTAACTTGAAATGTGAATTAATAATTGCAACAACTGGCATATATGTCTCTTAATCATCATTTTAGCCGCCTAAATATAAGAAACACAAATGCAAAACGCACAGAGGAGACGTAAAGTTTGAAGAAATGGAAATTATGTATGATTGCTTATGTGACGCACAAGTTTTAAGCGAGGCATCTTCTACTTGTAGTTGCGTTAAAAAGACGCACAAATCTGGTACTTTAACATCCGCCGATGAAACAAGTGATAATAACGAGTCAATCCAATAAAAGGGTAAAAATAATATCTTCAAACGTGTGTTACAAAGTTTTGGAATCTGATTCCTGATAGTATAATCTCGAGACACCGTTAGTTATCGGATCTTATACGAAATTTATCATAGGAGAAATAAATAGTTTGTTAAGTATGTTAAAGATTGGATTGCGGATTTTTATGCTGCGAAATTATTTAAATGCCTGAAAATGTACAGAATGCATATAATATGTAAACATATAGGAATTATCCAAAGTTTTGTCAGTAATCAAACTAATAGCGTTCGCCTTTTGAATTAGAAAGAGAAAATATATAGTTTAGAAACCCTAAGTGCATTAAACCCTTATTTCTTAATCACACCGTATTATTAAAGATTTCGCACGCTCTGTACAAATTCTTTCCAAGTAATATCAATTCTCCGAATTGATCGTCATTCGCTATCAGTATTTCAAGATATATAAATATTCGCTCATCTCTCTACCATTTGAAAATGACGATACTTTAATCGTATTTACATACGACACACTTCATAATCATAGCTCCGATGGACGCAAAAATACTTTCGATTGTTTCAAATTTTCTATCCTATTAAAATGTATAACCTTTAATAGAACTGTCGAGTAAAAAAAGAATTAACAATCATCTATCCGAGAGATGAAATAAAATTATTGTTTTCCAACATATAAACGAATTTCGGCTATGTCGAAGAAAACGTATAAGTTTCTTCAAAATCTAAAAAGAATATATCTGAAAGACGACGTAAGATTTGACAAAGACAAACGTAAAAGAAAGAAGTAGAAAAAAGATATGATTAACAAATTCAATCGCAGACAAACGGATTCAAAGCCAGGTATTTTGGAAATAGAGGACGATATGTCTCTCCCGGAACAAAATTCAGAAAAACTTCCAAAAAGTGGCGATCGAAATATAATTGATCCACCTCACGGTGTAAAAGCAAGCGTTTCCCCTCCATTTTCGCCAAATGTGTCAGTACCTAGAACTTTACCTGCAACACACCTTGAACGCCAGAAGGTATCCCATACCAAAGACAGAAATATCTTACGAACAACTGAAGAGGACAGAAAGAATAAAAACATTTGGAAGGATAAAATCAAGAATGAAGCGAAGAATGAAATCAAAGGCGAAATCGAGGATGAAGTCAAAGATGAAATAAAAAGTGATGAAAAGGTACTTTTGGATGAAAACGAATTTTGCGATCTGATAACTTGCACGAAAGAAAAATCTGAAAATGTAGATTTAGGTGCAAATGGAATTTGCGACTCGATGACTTGCACGAAAGAAAAATTTCAGAAAGTAGACAAATATAGAGAGGTAGATTTGGATTCGAACAGAGATTGCATTTGTTCTGAAACTTGTGACAATTTTTCAGAAACACGCACGAAGCATGATAGAGAAGACAAGATCTCTCCTACGAAATTAACAGAAATAATCAATAGCTCGATCAAAGAAGCGATGCAGAATATCGTGAAGCAATGTAAAATGGTATTTAAGATGCAAGTATCCAGGATACTTCAATTTTCTACCACATTTTTATTGTCAGTGTACGCGCAAACAAAATGAAGGAAATAATTATTTTAATGTATTATGTGTTTTGCGTTTTAAAAAGCAGAAAGAAGAAAAAGATGCCGATAAGAAGCCAAAAGAAGAAGCTAACTTTGATAAAGTTTGCTACGTAGATAAGGAAGGAATTTTAGTAAAAATGAAGCACGAGCATCAACCACGTACCACTCGGAATAGTTCAACGATAGAACGATTACGTAAAAATAACGAGCAGTTCGATAATCGTTTAAAATCGAATCGTCTTCGAGAAAAATATAATAGTGCACGCACGAATATTAGAAAATTACACGAGGAAAAAGGAAAACGTCAGAGTAAAAAAGATAACGCGTTCGAAGAAGTAAAGAAAAAGAAGCACTCAAGATTATTAAACAATGTAAAAACTGATAATCGTAGGATGACTGGAAACGTGAACATTTATATCTGTTCGGAAGCCAGCGAAAATATCCAAGTAATTCTACTTTTTATTCGTCTATAGCATTTCGTTTAAAAAAAATTGTCCATTGTTACTATTTTATTTGTTAGGCAACTAGTAAACAAGACAAATCTCAATCATGCACGGAATCATGTTCAGAAACGACGACGGAACAGTCAAAAGTTTCGTCGAGCAAACTTGTCACTTCAATTCGGAACAAGCGCAGAAAATTTCAAGAACAGGATTCGATCGATCTTGTAAAAAGTGAAGAAAGTAACGATGACAGCACTACCTATAGTTCAGGTCCATACGGAGACTCCAAAAACACGCTAAAAGTAGAAAGCTGTAATTTTATCGACGTCTATGACAACCTTGACAAAGATGTCCGTGTAAGCACTGACTCTATTTTGACCGAATGTGGATGCAAGGACATCGATAATAGCGATACTCTCATGACAATTGATAAGTCAGACTTGTCGTTTGAAAAATCGAAATTTGTTATATGCGACAAAATAGAGAAACCTTGCTCCACGATTTATACAACGAAGACTTTGACAGACTCGGAGAGCGACGGATGGTCATCGAAATCGATTTACAGCAGTCGAAATACAGATGTATGTGTTTCATCCGACGCTTGGTCAGTAGAGCCTAATTTAAATTATCGTATTAACGATAGCGAACATTGTACATTGCCTATAAAAACTCGTGAAAGTATATGTAAATATCGTAAAAGAGATCAAGGACTAATTGATAGGTCTAATCTACGATGCAGTTGTAAGAGCAGAAGACCTTACTCTAAGACAGTAAACAAAGAATCATGGATGACTTGTAATTGTATAAGAGAGGAAGAAGAAGACGTATGCGTCGATGTGAAGACTATCGAAAAGTTTGAAAAGCCGACTGTAAAAGAGAAAGAAACAACAACTATTTGTCATAAACCTTCAGAAGATTTAAAAGAAACGACGACGTTTGTACCATGCCCAAAATATTCTGTGGATTTACAAGAACGTATAGATAAATTAAAGGAAGAGCCTGCTGAAGATGTGGAGGTCATGGAAAAAGAAAAGGATACGAAAGATTTGCCCGAGGAAGAAAAGTTACCTACTGAACCAGAAAAAAGCAAGGAATCGGGAGAAACTCCACCCGACATGCCAAAGTTTGTCCCATCAAGAACGATAAGACCTGAAGTAATTGTACTTAAACAGTTGTTGAAACAACCTATACAACCGAAACCTGTAGGAATTATTGATATTTTGCCAATTCCTATTATGAAAACAGATATTTTGGAACAATCGACAAAAGATACGGTTGATTCAAAACCAGAAACCCATGTACCGCCGACTATTTCTAAAAAATACAAGTTGCGTAAGGAATATAGCAAAATTGAACCAAAGCAACCAGCAATTGAAGAGAAACGAAAGTTGTCTCAGAAAAAAGATGAAGAAATATTGAAAGAGGAATCAGCGGAAAAAAAGTTGGAAGACGAAACGTTAGAAGAGAAAGGCAAAGGCAAAGCTAAAGATATGAGAAAAGCTGAAAAGAGAACATTAGAAGAAAAAGACGACAGCAAAATTAAAGATACGAAGACATCGGAAGAGAGGGAGTTAAAGAAAGAAGACGATAGCAAAATTATAGATACGAAAAAAGCAGAGGAGAGAGAGTTAAAGAAAGAAGATGACAGAAAAATTAAAGATATGAAAAAAGCAGAGGGGAGGGAATTAAAGAAAGAAGACGATAGAAAAATTGAAGATACGAAAAAAGCAGAGGAGAAAGAGTTAAAGAAAGAAGACAGCAAAATTAAAGATACGAAAAGAGCAGAGGAGAGAGAGTTAGAGAAAGAAGGCGACAGCAAAATTAAAGATAAGAAAAAAGCAGAGGAGAGAGAGTTGAAGAAAGAAGACGACAGCAAAATTAAAGATACGAAAAGAGCAGAGGAGAGAGAGTTAGAGAAAGAAGGCGACAGCGAAAGTAAAGACACGAAAATCATCCAACAAATATTGGGACCATCGCTTCTTTTCAAAGGCTTAAAAATGATTACAGGTAAAACAGAACGTCCAGAACCAAAGCCTGAAGAATTTGTGGAACCTGCATCGCCTGATGTTATTATCGATAAAACTGTTAAAATTCCTGAAACAGAAACTAGCGAATTTCCAGAGAAATCTAAAGACGATACAAAAGGGGAGGAAAAATCTATTCCCTCTAAATTGTTCACATATATACCGAAAAAAATACCTATACCGACAAAAATACCTATACCAACAAAAATACCTATACCGACAAAAATACCTATACCGATGAAAATACCTATGCTGAAGAAAATACTTATACCGAAGAAAAATGATAAACCTGAATCGAGTACAGATAATTCAAAAAAGCAATCTGTAAACGAGGAAAATAGAAATAACAATAAAAATCCGAATATAGCTAATTCAAGGAAACCGCCTGTATACGAAGAAAATAAAAAGAACAATAAAAGCAATCCTGTTTCTAATCCTTCGCAATCCACCAAAGGAGAAATAAAAAATAATGCAGAACATAAAATAAATTCTAATGTCAGCAAAAAAAGTCCAAACAAATCAAATTTATTAATTGTTACTAATAGCAAAAATCCGCCTGTTTCGCCAATTCAAAATGTCGGTATTGAATTAGGAAACCAAGGAAATCCTAAAAACGATAAAAAAATATCTGAAACTCAAGATGTGCCTAAAAATCGCGAAATTCATGAATCGTTGACGAAGCCACAGCTTGAGAAGGGAATCGACGTTGAAGAAGAAAAAGGACTTGAACCGCAGATTACTAAAACTCAAGAAGACAAGTCAGGTGAAAAAATGAATGTTATTGTGCATTCTGAAAAAGAATCTATCGCGGTATCTACGCAACCTGACAAATTCGACTCTCGTATGATATGTACAAACACAAACCCAAGTTATACAAAGCATACGGGTGTTACCGATTATATTGCAACCGAAAAAAACACATGCAATTGTTATTATTTACCGATGCGTCAATACAATAACGAACCTATGAATTATCCTAAAAGTTGCTTAAAAAAGGAAAGATCGTGTTATCATACTATTTCTCAAGAAAGTAATCGTGCGATTCCATACCGCGATAAAAAAACCTGGGAGGAGTGTAGTTGTAGAAGAATAATTCCTTGCAACAATTTTTGTAGATCACGGAACGAATGCAGGTAAATATATTAACAAAAATATGAATTTGCAAGAACATCCGGAATCTATTCACCTCGGTCAATATCTCATCGACAATTAAACTTAATTACAATTAAACAGTTGTAGATTGATGGTAAACTGCGTAAACTGTTACAAACCTCAAAATAAATGCAACTGTAAATTAATTTACGAAAGGAAAAGCAGTAGTGGGTACATGAAATCGATGTTTTGTCTTTATTGCGATAAACCTCGCGACAAATGCACGTGTATGGCGATAGCACGAAAATGTTCGTACTGTGAACTGCCCATAGATATGTGCACGTGTAAGGAGCAGAAAACAATTTGCGATGGAAGACCGGTCCTGACCGAGTCTAATAACGATCGCACTATGTACGTCACTGCGTGGAAGCCTAGAGAAGAAGTACGACGTTACTTTTCTAGGAATTTAACCGATCTTAAAACCGATTCCATCAATGAATGCTGTTGCTGCGAGAAACTTAAACAGCATAACTCCGATGACCTTCCTTATCAACGATTGAGCGTTTTTTCTGACGTGATGGATGAATTGCAGCAAAAAATAATCGAATCTACGTGTTGTGCGCGTTGTCAAAAAGTTCCTTGCTGTTGTAATGTTAATATAGAGAGAGATGAGAGAAGAGAAGATAGGAAGATAAAGTATTGTATCAGGTAGGATGTTTTTACTACTTTGATTAACCCATTAATAGTGTAAATCACAAGAAACTCGGTCAGGCAATCATTAGATGACTCATAATTTACAGTATTATTTTAATAATGCGTACTATAAGTACATTATAAATGAAAATCACACGGACAAAAGGACAATTTTAAAATTTAATATATCGTCAATGACCGCCGCGTCAAAACTATTTTTCTACTTGATTCTGAGATCTTGAGAAGAAAATACAATTATTTCCTAAATCGTACATTTCCAATTCTTCCTCATTTTATTATCCTGACAAAGGGTTAAAATAAGAAAGACATTCCGAAAATATCATATTAAGAAACTATTCGTTGCAGCCCTAAAACACGACGGAAGATTATCGCCGTATGTATGGAAAAAGCGAAAAATAAATCATTGAATAATTGCAAATATGAGTCTAATCACGCAAAGAGCGACAAACAGAAAAAAGTATTAGTAGCACTTTGTTGTGTTTGCAAAGCAACACCCTGTAGATGCAAGAGATCTAAATCCAGTCAGAAAAAGCTGAAAGCGAAATGTTATTATTGTAAAAATTCACCGTGCATGTAAGTATCGATAGAAAGAAAGAAAAGAGGAAAACGGAAGAAGTGTGGAAATTTCACGTTAATGAAAACAACTTCTTTCGCTAATTGCCCCGAACGTAGATCTGGTACTTCCAGTTGTTGATTTTTTATTACATTCTTTACTACAGCTGCATTGCGGCCAGAGAGCGCAACAAGTCGAGGCCATGCAGGTGCACTGATTCACCTTGCCGTACGAAAGAGAAGGAAAGCACATCGTATGGAAAAACATCTACGAAACCGAAGAACAATGACGAAAAGACAATTTGCGTGCACTAATGTGACACCTGTCGTTACTTGACTTACAATTTGGAATACAAAGTCAATTGGAGCAAACTACCACTCAGGATTTTTAAACAAAAGCCAACAAACGATTTACATTTTTCGAAATTTTCGAAAATGAACCCCTTCTTCATAATCTTCGATAATATCTTTATACATAACAAAATTTATTTGAATTACATTGTTAAGAGCGTTCTACGAACAACGGTTCAAACGATTCTGCTGCATTCGCAATTTTTCATTTTTCACAATCAAAGACAGCATTTTTATTTAGCTGATAATCGAACGTATCTTCCTGCCACTTCTCTTTCTACAGAATTTTTATGAAAATTTTCTAGTGTCATTTCCTTTTTTTCCTTTTTCAAAATTGATCAAAGTATATAATAGTGTCGAGGATTTAATTATAAAATTTCAAGTATGTTTACACTAAAATATAATTCAGTTTGTTGCATTTTACTAAATCATTCCCTCTTATGTGTATATATATATATCCATAATCATAAAAAAAACAAGGTAACTCTGTTTTAGTTACGAAAGAACATTTGACATATTGCAAAACGCTCTGATTACGCAGCAATAGTTCACATATTAACGGAACGAATATTTCATTTTGTAAATTTTAACGGATATAACGATATAACAACATAGTTGCCTTTTTATGTAACATATGTAAAATAAAAATTAAAATCAAAGATATTAAATATTAATAAATATTTGCGTATGTCACAGACGCGTTAAGGCAAAAATGAATGAACGTATTAAATATTCGTGATGTAATTTAAATATAAAATAAATTTGAATAGATTAAGCTTCCTTTCTAATCTTGCATCTTTCTACAAAAAAAAAATTGTATACAATGTTAATCGTAAAATATAATACAGCTAAAAATGTTCACAACAGTACATTGTTTTGTTTCTCCGCTTTAATTGAAGAAACAAAAACAAACAAGACTTCGGAAGTGTTATTTACCTCACAACTGTGTACAAAATATTTCAGACTGCTAGAGTTGTCGGGAGTAGGGGGTATCTTAGGCTTCATACAAGACGCTGTCTCCTCCGTTTTACTAGATCAGTACGAGCCGTAGACGGGCAACGTGTTCTTCCTTAATCGTGTTCCTCGTTTGCTTTCGCTTTCAAATAGCTCTCTTTTGCTTCAAGAGTCAAATTCGAGTATCCTAACGCTCATTGTTTCTTCATTTCGCGTCATTTATTTCTATTATATTTTTTTGTCAATTCTTATCGAGCACCGGTAAAAAAGAAGAAAGGTGACAAATTGGAAAGAAAATGCAAGTGTACAGTGAAGATCCTGGATCACCCTGTGTTTCTCGTGATAAACTACTAAACGAGAAGAATTCTTTAACTCTTCAGGAACTCATAGATAGTTTACACGAAGCTTTCGAAACTGACTACGTGAATATAGACAGGGTTCAATATCTAATGGCCTCGTACAGAAGCAACTCCGCAGAATGGAAAAAATATGCAAAATTTGACAGATACAGGTAAACTGACAGCTTGAAAATTATATTAAAAGCTATTAAAATAATCTAAAGGAAAAATAAGGAATTTTAATATAAAGATTTACATATTTCAATGCTTCAAAGATGCAGTACGGTATGAAGTTACAGCATATTAATTGGATTAAAATATCAATGACTATAACGAGGGTGGTCACCTGATTCTCATTCTATTTCGTTTCTACGCGTCTTACGTTCGCGAAAAATCGAATTCCCCAGTAAATATTTTATCAGTCGACAGAACACGGCACAACTACATCTCGAACATAAAATAAAATTAACATGAAATTTACGATAGGTTATCGTCTGTTACTGTTTCTCCGACCCTGGTCGTCTGTTAAATATTTTGTTTCATTCAATCTTAAGTAATGAATTTAATAACCTTGTACTTTGAGTATTATCTGTACAAGTTGACACGCGAGCATGAAGTAACTGACCTTAAGAAAAATAAGAAGGGAACATGGTCGGATTTCTGATAGAAGCAAGACAAATTTAAAAGTTTACTGAAAACGTCATTATTCTTATCTGCAAAAACATATATTACGAGACTTTACAACGATCGCACTTCGCACTACAATGCTACAATAAATGCAATAAGTGGCATAATGTGTGCATTAGAAAGCTATCAATATTAAAACAAAAAAAGAGTACATGCCAGAATTATTCCAGATAGCTGGACGATGATATTATTACAAATAGTGTTTTCATACGAGCCGATAATTTTGTTTACGTAATTAAAAAATTATAAATAACATCTATCAAAATCTATTAAAGCTATCCTTTGCATTCACGAAGAATGACACATCAATTAGTAAGTACAACCTGATCTTCTATTCGCATGCTAATTATATTTTGCATTAATTAGTACATAATCGAGAGAAACTACAACCAAGTGTTTAGATCATGATTAAAGCAGTTTGAAAGTATAATTTGTATAATTTTTTCAAAATTAAAAACACAAATCTATGTTTAGATTGAGAAAACAAATGAATTAGTCTGAACTTTCTATTCTGTCCGCCTACAAGATAACATAAATTTTCAATAAATATTACTTCACCAATTATAAAGATAATAATGATCACGTTACAAGATATATATATGTATAAATGGAATTATTACACGGAATTGCTACCATAGCAGGTTTCCACATAATACGCGAAAGTATGGAAACTATAGTTCAGGCACAACCTCTTTACAGAGTAGAACGTACTATATTGAACGGAAAAAAGACGATTACTAATCGCATAAAAATTACATCGAAAATATTCATCGAAACATTTTGTTGACTTCTAGTACTTCGTTCGATTCACTTTATGCCGACCTAGTACATGTCCTATTTGCGTTTCGTAAATAGATATGGAAACATTATCTTCTACCATGTTATTTAAAAATATAATACACAAAGAAATATGACCAAAAAGATTTGACATCATTACAACCGAAACGTAAGTATGCGGAACACTTCAATGTTCATGTGTATTGCACATAAATCAGTAGTGTTCGTAGTATAGTACGGTGAACGGCTGGTTACACACACTTTCCACGTATGCCCCCTTCTCTTAAACATTACACTTGATTCAGAACATCGGTTCTTTGACACGCGACACTTATCGGATCGAAAGTAACGAACGACAAAACATTCTCATATACTTAGAAACAATGCCTATACCGAGTGCATTTCCAATCAGATTAATTTATTGTCCTCTAATTTAACGTGATTCACCGGTGCTTATCTAGTTTAATCATATAAGTCCTTAAAGGAAAATCCAAATGAATCATTTTGCTTAGGTATACAAGAAATTTAGTCGATGAAGGAAATGGAAGGTTCAATCTAATGATTCTATGTTGGGGAGAAGGTCATGGTTCAGCAATACATGATCATGCGAATGCACATTGCGTAATGAAAATTCTCCACGGTGAACTCTTTGAGGTATAGAATGAAATATTCTATTTTTTTCATATATATATATATATATATATGAAAAATATATATATATATTATATATATAATAAAATATATATATATATATATATATATAGCAAACAATTTTTTATTATGTTTATGATTTTATAGACACGGTACGCGTGGCCTACACAGCGTGAGAAACCAGAAGAATTACAAGAATTGGAACAAAATACTCTCGGTCTTAATCAGATATGTTATATCAATGGTATAATTTCTAAATATTCTAAATTATCTATCGTTATATAATATTGTTGAAATTTTATTTTGATTTTATGTATATACAATTTGTTACAGATTCTTTAGGACTTCATCGAGTTGAAAATCCGAGTACCGTGAATCCTGCTATTTCTTTACACTTGTATTCACCACCGTTCTCTTCCTGTTCCGTTTTCAATAAACAAACTGGACAAAAAAGCTCGTGTAAAGTTACATTTTGGTCAGAATACGGAGATAAGCGAAAACGTGTAAGATTGTCATCTATTTTTCTTCTTTCTTTAATCAGTTCTTCATTTTTAATCATCCTTCTTTCTGTCAATATTATCAATACCAAGTCAGAATTAAGTTGCAACTGATTTGAGTTCTTTCTGATTCAAACTTGATTTTAATCCTCTAAATTTGCAGGAAATCCAAGATGCTAGGTGCCCTGAAGATAATTAATATATCATAAGTGAAGTTAATACCAGCGATAATCATTTGAATAATTATTCTAAGTTAAACAAAATAAAAAAATAAAGAGATAGTATATGCATTTTTAAATACTATACCAAATGATCAGAATGTTCCTGATATTTTAATTAAAAGAATAAAAAAAAAGGTGCAAGATATGATAAATTTTGATAACACGAAAGCAGCCAATTAGATTTACATTATTTGAGACATAATAACTATCCCTTAAATAATACTGATTGCCCAGATCTTACCACGTGGAGATTACTGCGTTTGGAGACCCACCCGATCCACGGCACCCATCCTCCCTTCCTTTTATTCAAATTTCATTCAATCTTATTATTTTCATTCAATCTACATCTGCATGACGTACATACTAAGTCCATTTTACAGACGTGATATAAATGAATTTTTTTCTATTTTAACCGAACACGAAACTAAAAGTAATACCATAAAGATATATTCTGAAATAGAAAAATATAAATTAACCCACATAATATGCACATATATGTCGGAGATGAAAGAACACCGGAGTCTTTGGAATTTTGGTTAATCCCGCAACATTGTAACCTAGAGTCTACTATAGCGGTAATTAAACAATTGTAGTTATTCAATCCGATTGTAATTGTTCGAGAGTTGTGATAATGAGCTTGGGCTCGAGGCGACAGCCAGTTTTTTGTATTTATTTGTTGAAATTACAATCAATTCTCGCGTTGAGAATTTTCAGTAATTTTTCTAGCGTGGCGCAGCGATATGGCTGTTTATTTACAATAAGTTAATACTTATAGATAGGTATAATTTATAAGTATTATAAGTAAGTGCATATGCTTAATTTGAGTAACTAAATGAATCTAGCATTTAGGTCTAGCGGGTAGTGCCTCTTCAGCCTGCGAATCTGGTCCGTCGTGTCAAGTAGTCCAGCGATTAGGGGGTTTCGGT